TTGAGGTCAATTTTTTGACTAAAATTTCTAGACTTATACATGAATATACACAGTATGTTGCTAAATCACATAGGTCCAAAACACACTGCAGAAATAATCCAGTTTGAGACCGCGTTTACTACCCTGGCTCATGCAGGGTAGTAAACCCTGGGCAGTAAACCCTGGGAACTGTAGTTTATTGTGGCACCAGAGCTCTCTGACAGAGAAGGCTAAATGTCTCACAAAACTGCAGTTCCCAGAATTCCCTAGCATTGAGCAAGGGCAGTCCTCAGTTCTCACTCGTAAGTCCCAGTTAGAGTAGACTCATCCAATCAGTTATTGAATGGTGAGTCAACCTGCAGGTAAATCCCATTGATCCAATTCATCTACTTTAGTCAGGACCAACAATATGATTCAGGTCTTGAAAGTTGTTTTTTATAGTACTACTATAGTACCTTTCTGACCAAAGTGGTTTACAGACTTAAACAAAAAACCAATGAGATACAACATAACAATGTACTAAAAGCAGTATTATAATATGAGAATTTTTAAAGCCTAGTTTTTAATCTTTTGATGTTTTAAAATTGAAAATAAAAAAGAAACAGAAAAATGGGGACAGTACATTGGATATATTGATGGGTTAGGCATAAGCATTAATATAAACTGTTCATGTGTCCAAAATGTACCTGTTAGAAGTTAATGCTTGCGGGATACACATTCAAATGTAGCTAAAACAGCACAGCCATTTAAGTATCAGTGATAAGGATAATTGAGTTCTCTCATGTACAAAGGGATTAGATCCTACATCTAAACCAATCTTTGGGGGGTTGCAGACTGCCAGAAATAGTGCAAGGGTTAGGGTTAGTGCTAGGGAATCATGAGAATTGTTTTTGGTTTTTTTTTTCTGAGACACTGAGCCTTCTCTGTCAGAGAGCTCTGGTGCCACAATAAAATACAGTTCCCATGATTCCCTAACCCTAACCCTAACCCTAAAAGTGGACTCAATTTGCACTATTTCTGGCAGTCTGCAACTCCCATTTGTCATCCTTTTTACCCTGGAGGAATTCTTAAAATAATTGTCAGGTCTCTACATAAAAAAAATATATTAAATTGTTGTTGTGTATCTTCAAGTCATTTCCAATTTATGGCGACCCTAAGGGAAATCTATCATGGAGTTTTCTTGGCAAGCTTCTTCAGAGGGGGTTTGCCATTGCCATCCTCTGAGGCTGAGAGAGGGTGCCTTGGCTAAGGTTACCCAGTGGGTTTCCATAGCTGAGCCAGGATTCGAACCCTGGCCTCTCAGTGTCCTAGCCCAACACTCAAGCCATTATGTCACACAGATAGCATTATATCTACTGCTAATATATATATAAAAGTTCATTTTTCCCAACCACAATCTATCACTGAACCCCCAGCAATCTCTTTTTGAACCCCAGAGAAACCCTGACTTAAGAAGTATAGGAAATAGCATGGTAAGCGTCAGTGTGGTGTAGTGGTTTGAGTGTTAGACTTGACTCTGGAAACCAGGGTTTGAATCTCCACTGCGCCATAGAAGGCCACTGGGTGACCTTGGGCAAGTCACACTCTTTCAGCCACAGAGGAAG